AAGAGAGGGCAAGAGTATATATGGCACATAAAGAGGACATGAATTATTTTGCTTGCAAAAAAAAAATACCCACAATAATTCCTTCCATTCTTATACATAGTCCATTTTGCAATGTAACTTTGTAGAAGTGGTATGGGACTTCCAAACTCAGGATTCAAGGAGCCTTGTAGTTATTGATAAAAATTCTTTGCCTGTCCAAACTTTAGTCAAGCTTCTGAACTTTCTCCTAAGCTCATCTGCATATTACCTTATGAAGTCCAGTATTAGAAAGGAACCATGATAAATCAGTTTATTAAGAACCCGCCCTGATATGTTCAACCCTAGATATCTAACTGTACTCCTCATCCTCCACCATCACCTTGATGATACCTGATCACCCTAGCCTTTCTTAAGCAAGAATTGTATTAGGTCAGTTTTTCCAGAATCCCCCTTAACTCTGATGTTTCCTCCTAGTACTTTGCCATTCACTGCCTTTCTGCTCCTTGGCTATAGATTTCCACTTGCCCATGCTGTGTTGATACTTGAGCATAACCTCCCCTGTCCTACTACAAAATCCTATTGTTGTGGTCCCTGTACTTACCATGTTGGTCCTAAATAACATTTGCCTTATTGTTCTTTTACAAGTATCAATTTTTTCCTTAACACTTTTTCACATGTATCTTGAGGTTGGTGTGACGAAGTCACAGGAAGCCTACTGGAGAACCAAAGGCTACACAGGGCACAGATGAGTTGTCCAGTGGAGATATCTAGGCCAACCAGCTGACATTCACCAGAAGCTACCAGATGGGAAAGTGAGACCATCCTGGACCTTTGTGCTTTAGTGAAGCTCTTAACAACTGCATGAAAGACCTTGGGCAAATTCAAAAGAAGGACCATCCCACTAAGCCAGATCAAAATGCTGACCACAGAATTGAAAGTATATGAAATGGATGTTGTTTGACTACCATGGATTTGAGTGGTTTATTGCACAGTTATAAATAACTTTCATGGGGGAGTAAGGAAGTGATTTGGGACAGTCAGTAAGATTGACATTTGTGAGTAGAAATTAGAGTATCATAATATAGTGGATTCTCAGGGCCTTGAAAATCATCAGGTCTTCATGTTTGCTACATCCTTACCAAACATCATACCACCTTATTACTATCAGCTGCAAAGTTAAGCAGTTTAGTACCTCCTGGTATAGATCAAGACATTTTGGATCATACTTGCCTTAGAAACTTGGTCTCAAACCTTGGTCTCAAACCTGGGGATGTAAGCTAGGGGAATATATTCCAAACATGGAAAAAACTTTCATGAACAAAGATGAAGTAATCAAAAATATATCATAGAAAATGAGAAACAAGATGAATATTCAATTCTAGAGGCATCAATTGGCATTCTTTTAGCAAACGTCAAGCAGCCATTAATTATCTCATTACTAGAGAATTTATGATGATCTAGAAATACTCTCACTAGGTGATTCTTGCTAAGTGAAAAAACAAAAT